CTTAAAACAATTATTCAACATTAACAGACAATGCCCAGCAGTGCCAGCCCCTGAAAAGCACTGCTCTGCACTGCTTATCAGGCCAGGCAGAGGCCTCCCTGCCTGTGGCCTGAGCTGTTCTCAGCTCTGTCCAACTTGCCCTGGGCCTGGCCAGTGGGAGGTGCTGCTGAGAAGCCTGAGCCCTGGGCTATCCCAGCCGGCAGGGGGCTCACTGGCAGGAACTCTTCACAGCTGAGCCTGTCAGGGTGGGGGTGTGCTAAAAAAATATCCACTGACATTGTACAGGAGAAATAAAGAAAAAGTCTAACCTTTTAAGACAAAATACAGTATCGTATCAAGTGTAGACAAAAACTGTAAGTGGCATTGGTACCCTTCTTAGGATCCTAATGTGATGATTCTCCTGGAATAAGATCAGTATCCTGAGGGAAGAGAGGCAAACCCCCACCTTCAGCCCATCACTACGCACTGCAGCTCATGCACTTCAAGTTTTGTGCTCCCAGACAATGCGTGTCCTCATGAAAACACCGTTTTCTGCGCTGGGAAATCATTCTCTGATCTGTTCACGTCTTCCAGATGAAGATTTTCAGCAGGTTTCGATCTGTTAAAAAAGCAGTAACTGCAAAGAGGCACCTAATCTACTTGGATTTGCCTGTTTTTCAGAGATACTCCTGGCAGTTATGAAGGTCATTAAGTATCAGAATAAACTGAACTTTCAACTAGAACTTCAGAAAATGTTGAACCATGATTTAAAAAAATGTTTCTCGGTCTGGCAGTGCCTCACACCTGTAATCCCAGCACTTTGGGAGGCTGAGACAGATGGATCACCTGAGGTTGGGAGTTCAAGACCAGCCTGACCAACATGGAGAAACCGTGTCTCTACTGAAAATGCCAAATTAGCTGGGTGCGGTGGTGCACCCCTATAATCCCAGACACTTGGGGGATGCTGAGGCAGGAGAATCACTTGAACCCAGGAAGTGGAGGTTGTGGTAAGCCAAGATCGCGCCATTACACTCCAGCCTGGACAACAAGAGCAAAACTCTGACTCAAAGAAAAATATGTATGTGTGTGTATATATATATATATATGTTTCTGACTTTGCTCTCACTAAACTTTTTTTTTAAAGCAAAAGGTATTTTGCACTGTTAACCAATGAAATATTTTAAAACACTTCATCATGTTACATTTTAAATGTGTATAACATAGAAGAATTAGTGTATGTTTATATAACTTACAAATTTTTAAAAACTGAAATGTCCAAATATTTGGAGTCTTTTGACTCTAAGGTCCTGTTCCAGTTGCTATGGTGACATAACAAACCCCTCCAGACTGAGTGGTGTAAACAACCACCATCTTACTATGCTCGTGGGCTCCATGGTCAGAAATTTGGCAAGTGCACTGAAAAGATGGCTTGTCTCTGCTCCCTGATGCCTGGAACTCAGCTGGGAAAACTGAAAAGCAAGGAAGGTTGGAATCATCTGACTCCTGTCTGGACTGAGTCTGGCAGCCAACGCAGATGTTGGCTGGGACCTGAGCAAGGGCTGCTGACAGGAACACCTACACACAGCCTTTTCCTTTGGCTGCTGGGCTGTTCACAGAATGGTGGGTGAATTCCAAGTGTGACCCCAGGTACAGGAAGAGATACGAAATGGAAACTGTCAGTTTCCTGAAAATCTGGGCCCACAAACTAGCATGGCATCCTTTCTACTGTCTTCTATTCGTCAAGCATCACAAAGCCCATATTCCAACAGGAGACGAGCTAGACCCAACCTCTCAAAAAACACTGTCAAAGGCTTTGGGGAGTATGGTTTCAAACTCCCACAGATTCTAAGGCTGTGACTCAACCCAGCACACTGGGCTGCCTGGTTGTACACAGGTATCCATATTGATGCAAAGTCCCCGAGCTGCTCTTACACTCTTGTGAAGCACCCTTAACTTGGTTGGTATTTACATAACTCTGCAATCTTTCTCCTCCCAGATTCTTAGTGACCTCCACATCTTCTCCTCAGTTCTCCCAGTTTTCCCACAAAACAGGCTCCTCTCCCTGTAGCTATTCTTTTCTTTCTTTTTTTTTTTTTTTTTTTTTTGAGACAGAGTTTCATTCTTGTTGCCCAGGCTGGAGTGCGGTGGCGCAATCTCGGGTCACTGCAACCTCTGACTCCCAGGTTCAAGCAATTCTCCTGCCTCAGCCTCATGAGTAGCTAGGATTACAGGCACCCACCACCATGCCTAATTTTGTATTTTTAGTAGAGACAGGGTTTCTTGATGTTGGTCAGGCTGGTCTCAAACTCCTGACCTCAGGTAACTCACCCTCCTTGGCCTCCCAAAGTGCTGGGATTACAGGGTTGAGCCACCATGCCCAGCTCCCTGAAGCTACTCTACCTGAATAAGCTAAAGATCTCTCAGAGAGGGCCGGGCGCAGTGGCTCACGCCTGTAATCCCAGCACTTTGGGAGGCCAAGGTGGGTGGATCATGAGGTCAAGAGATCAAGACCATCTCTACTAAAAATACAAAAAATTAGCTGGGCATGGTGGCACGCGCCTGTAGTCCCAGCTGCTCGGGAGGCTGAGGCAGGAGAATTGCCTGAACCCAGGAGGCAGAGGTTGTGGTGAGCCAAGATCGCGCCATTGCACTCCAGCCTGGGTAACAAGAGCGAAACTCCGTCTTAAAAAAAAAAAAAAGATCTCTCAAGACAGTTAGTCGTACCCCACATCCCAGCTCTGATTCCCCCAGGGCTACCTTTCCAAAGGAGACTCACAACACAATATCTTCTAGCTTTTATCTGGGAGGGGAGGGGGGCGGGGAGGGGGAATGAGAGGGGCTAGGTGGTCTTGGCTGAGTGACCTGATCCCAGGAAGTCATGTCTCTTTCTGCACAGATCACTAGCTGGATGTCTGTGTCTGGCCTGGGAGATCACAGTGAGAACTTGTCACTAAAGCAGGTGCCCATGATGGAAGAAATGGAAATTATATCTAAAGAGAGAGGCTGAAGTGTTCCTTAAACCACAGAAGAAAACAGTCAAAGTACAAAATGACAAGCAGCTGTCTTAATAGTGCTTGTCAGAGGGACATGAAAGAACAGAGGTGCTATGCTGCTCCACAAAGCAAAACAAGAGCAAACAAGTCTGTGTGAGTTTCAAGAGGCTGGCCCTGAGGGGGCACCGTGGCAGTCTAGGTGAGGGACAATGGTGGCAATGGGTGGAGGACACAGGCCAGAGACCGTTTTCTTCACCAAGTCTTGATAGAACTTGATGATGAACTGCTGAAGAAGGCAAGAGTAAAGGTAACATCTGGCACTTGGATTTTAGGGTTGGACATTTAGAGTAACTCCTTAGCTTCCTTTTAACTCTCAGATACTGTGATTTGATCAAATTCCAAATTATGACAAGTATCTTTGGGATGAGAAGATAAAATTTCCTTTAGAAAGACCCCTCGGTGAAGGTTGCCAGGATGCATGGCCTGGCCCGTGTGGGTGAGACAGGCAGTTTCACAAGGTCCTGTTCCGCCCTGCCACCTGTCAGCGCAACTTTCACTGCTGCAGAGGCTTTGGCCATTAGATAAACTACTCATGGGCAGCCACTCTCTCCCTATCTTTACTGTTTCAACCCGCCTCTCAGTTACTAAGCAACACTTCCTTGAGAGCCTATAGACAAAGCACCTGCAAGGTGTGGGGATACCTACAGACTGGCCATGGGACAAGGCAGACCAAGAACCTGACTTCTATCAGTTTAACAATCTCAAGCCACACCTTGGGAACATGCGGATTCAAACATGTTTATTGAGCAAATCATTAGGACACAAAATAGGCTGAAAAAGATGTTCCAAAAATCTAGGAAACTATGGGCTCTTTCCGTTAATCACAGAGAGGTGCTGCCCCTCTCCACTCCAAAGAGAACAGGAAAAAGGCACGGGGACTGGGCCACAGTGCATTAGGGAGGACACGGTCTCTCGCTTCTCTACCCCAACATCACCAGAGGGAAAGGTTAAGTTAGAAAAACAGTATTCAACTTTTTCCTCAGACCCCAGGGCTGAAGCCTGGGGGAATGCTTCACTTTGCTCCTTTTCTCTTTGCCTTTTCCAAGTGGTCACATCCTTGAGGTGGGGGGTGGAGCTGGGGAGGGGCCAAGAGTCATGTCAGAAATCCTATAATGAGAAAGATGAAAGGAATACACAGGACACAGCAACAGGCCTAAGGGCAGACCGTCCTCCCGTGGGTTACTCTCAAAGCCCCAGAGTCAGCTGAAAGGGCCGCCCCCATGATGTTGCCTTTCTGTCAATTTGATGGGTACATGGGTTGCCTGCCAGCATTTCCCAAGGACATAACTCCTCCTGCTCTGGTGACACTCACCTCAATATCCAGCTCTGTAGAATCTAAGAGGTCCAGCCTGCGCTCCCTGGGGGAAGAATAGGTACTTCCTTGCTAGAGAGAATGAGGTTAAAAGTCAAGAAGGCCTTTCCATACTCCTATCATTTTGTAAACAAAAACCCAGTTCCTTTCCCAGCCTCATAAGAATAAACATGGGCACAGCAGGCCCCTATAGCACCTCCTGGGAGGCAAGTTAGTGTGGGTATGAGGATCAGGCCTCACTGCAGAGCGCTTCTTGGCCTGCTGACTGAGTCCCTTAAATGCCTTTGGTTTGGGAACCAGAAAGTGGTTTTTTTCCTGAGATGTGAGGAAATAATATTTTAATAGAAGCCTTGCTCTTTAGTCTCTGGTTTGAAGGTATCATTGTTTCGTTTATCCTCCTGAGCACAAGACTCTCCTGCTCTGTTCTATTCCATTCTTTTTCCCTCCTCACAGAGATAAGAACAGAAGAATAACAGCAAGATACACAGCCTGCAATGGACTGCATGTCTGTGTCCCCGCAAACCCGTACATTGAAATCCTTCCCCTAGTGAGATGCTATTAGGACATGAAGCCTTTGGAAGGTGACTGGGTCATAAGGATGCAGCCCTCATGGATGGATGAATGACATTCTAAGCCCAGGCCAGAGAGCAGCCTGCTGTTTTTCCTCCAGGTAAGGATACAACCGGAAGCTAGCAGTCAGCAGGCTGGAAAACAGCCCTCGCCAGAACCCAACCCTTGGACTTCAGCCTTCAGAGCTGTGAGAAATGAATTTCTGCTCTTTTAAGATACCAGTCTATGGAATTCTGTTACAATAGCCTGAACTCAGACATAGGCTTTTTCCATTTATAAGGTGATTTTACCTTATATTTTATGCAAAAGGTCCATTTTATTTATTTTTGAATTGTTAAATTTTGAAAGAGACAGAGGTTTATTATGTTACCCAGGCTGAACTCCAATTCCTGGACTATTGATCCTCTCATCTCCACCTCCTGAGTTGCTGGAACTACAGACTGTGCTTTAAAGATGAGAAAATGGGCAACACGCAGTCCCAGCACTTAGGGAGGCTGAGACAGGTGGATCACTTCAGGTCAAGAGTTCGAGACCAGCTTGGCCAACATGGCAAAATGCCAGATCCACTAAAAATACAAAAAATTAGCAGGCGTGGAGGCGTGTACCTGTAATCCCAGCTACTTGGGAGACTGAGGCAGAATCACTTGAGCCCAGGAGACAGAGGCTGCAGTAAGCCAAGATTGTGCCACTGCACTCCAGCCCTGGGCAACAGAGACTCTACCTCAAAAAATAAAAGTAATTCAAAAATAAAGATGAGAAAATGGACGGTGAGGAGGGATAAAGAGCTAATTTGACGTGGAGTTGAGGACTCGTGCTTAGGTCACCACACTCCAAATGCCAGGCTTTTCCCACTACACCAGTAGCAGCATTTCCTCCTGGGGAAACAGACAAGCTAGGTTAGAAGGGGGGAGGGACAAGGAGGGGTAGCCCTCTAGTAGGGAGAGGAGGACAGGGAGTCATGTGTTGGGAGGAGAGACACTGAAGGGGCTGCCGCCTAGACTGGATAACCTCCCACCTTCAGCACTAGGACTCCTTCCAATTCCTAGGAGGTTCAGAAGCAACAATATATACTTAGGGATTGGGAGCGAGAGTGCTATTCCAACCTTCTTTGGTATTTGTAATTTTTCTTATTCTTTAATAAAAGTACAGTCCAAGCAAAGTCCAAACCAACGTATAACCTTTCCTCCTGTACTCTAGATTCATTCAGCTTTCAGAGACCAGGCATCATGAGTGGAGAGAGGGAAAGCACCATGGCTTCTCTTTGGCACATCAGCCCCTAGTTCTTGAGAGAGAAGGGCAGGGTGGTCCACTTACCACGTCTGTATCCTGCCATTCTTCACTTGACTCATCCTGAATTTCGAACTCTTTTTCCTCGTCTTCTTCCATAAGGTTGAGTCTGATGTAGGACAAAGAGTCAGGCTTTTCAAACTGTTCTTTGAGGACCCTTGCGAGTTTCTGAGACACCCGGGGTGGGGTAAGTGGGAAGAAGTAACTACAGCATAGTAGGTTTCCACATTATGCTGACAGGAAGTGTTCTATGGCTAAAACAAGCCCCAAAAGTACCCAGGGAGAGGCACTGGGTGATATAGGAATCCCCTCACAGTGGACGACAGATCTGAAGTGAAGACAGGAGATGATGAGGAAAGCTCACCGCATCAGCTGGTTGCCCAGACCAGGACCTGAAGGGTTGTGTGGAGTCTGGATAGACTGTGAACCCAAGAACCTTGACCTCTGGGTGCCTGTGAGGGGCTGACTGCTGGGAATGAAGCAGGATCAGTGATGGGATAAAAATCAAGGATGAGAAGAAGACATAAAGCAGCTGGTATTAATGGGGAGAAAAGCTCAGTGTTAGGAGAGATGCATTTTAAAGCTAAAAAATAGAGAAGGATTAAAGAAGAACCCAACAATGAGGGAGTGCTACAGCAGGGAACCATGGAACAGAAACAGCAAGATGGAGGTAGCCAGACACCAAACTGGGAACCCGGACACCCAGATTCCCTCCATGGCCTCACCCCTGGGCAAAGTCCAACTCTGAGTCATCTTCTTCTTCCATCTCTTCCAACCCCCATGGGGGCTGCCTGCTCTTCACAGCTGTGGAGGTGAGGGTAGGTGTGGGCGGGATGCTGTTCAGCTGCAGGCTTTCTTCCTGGGATGAGGAGATTTCTTCTCTGTTAGACTTGGCAGGCCCTGCCAAACAGACATACACATTAACCACAGGCCAAGGCCTGCCACAGGCGTTTTCTCTTTCCAAGACTTATCCAGGATTTAGTAAGGGAAAGTCAAGCAAGAAGAAAACCTATACAGCCTCATTCTGTTGCCCTCAAATGAGCAGAGCCCTGTTTAATAAATACACAGCCCTATGTACCAAAAAGTAAGGCTTAGAGAATTGTAGCTAGGGCATGTCCAAGAAAAACTTTTACTACACAGCTTAGAAAACAAGTTGGAGGCCAGGTGTGGTGGCTCACACCTGTAATCTCAGCTCTTTGGGAGGCTGAGGTGGGTGGATCACCTGAGGTCAGGAGTTCGAGACCAGCCTGACCAAAATGGAGAAACCCCATCTCTATTTTTAAAAAAAAAAGAGAAAAAGAAAAGTTGGAAAGACATATAAATACACATTTCACAAATAAACTATAACAGGTGAACACAAATATGAGGGACGGTTGGAGTCTCTAAGATTGAGAGGTCTGAGTTAGCTAATGAAGACATTTGAGATCCTATCCAAGATTTCTGTGGTCTGAAAAAACTTAAAATGGCAATAGAGTTTTGGCACCACAGGCTAGAGTGGATGCATGAGGGCCAGGGAAGAACTGAAAAATGGGAGACGGGATTTTCTAAAAGCTAGAAAAAAATGAAGTGATTGCAATGCCAGTATTACTGATAAGAAAAAGTGGGGACTTATCTCCTGCAGAGATCAGAGAAGGTAGAGGAGGAAAAAGAACACAGATTCTCACTGCCTGAGAAAACTCAGGTAATATTATTTCAAAGTAGCATTCAAATTGATACTAACATCTGTTAACTGTAAACAGTCACACTGAAGACGAAGACCCAGGCTTCTCAGATCAACTTCCCCTTTGACTATCATGCTGCATTTCAATAGAAGAAAAGGTTGACAGACTGGTGCCTCCGGTTTTACCTTCCTATAGGTGACAGGCTAGGCCTTGGGGAAACTCTCCATAAGGCACTATTTTTACTTAAAACAAGATCAGTTGGGCGCGGTGGCTCAAGCCTGTAATCCCAGCACTTTGGGAGGCGAGGCGGGTGGATCACGAGGTCAAAAGATCGAGACCATCCTGGTCAACATGGTGAAACCCCATCTCTACTAAAAATACAAAAAAATAGCTGAGCATGGTGGCCCGTGCCTGTAATCCCAGGTACTCAGGAGGCTGAGGCAGGAGAATTGCCTGAACCCAGGAGGCGGAGGTTGCGGTGAGCCGAGATCGCGCCTTCCCTTGGGAAGGAGGGTGGAGACTTCCTAGCCAGAAGCAGAGCACTGATATTATCGCCCAGGCCAGTGCAGGGTTTTCGTGTCTTTGCACCCAACTTATACACGCAGTTGGGATTATTGCCAGCAGAGAATAGTTGGTTCACTTAATTGGACTTAAAGAATACTTCCTTAGAATTAGACTGGCCTTGGAGGGTCAAAAACTATTTGCATTTCAATGGGAGAAACCCAGAGGCAGGTGTAACCACTCAATACACCGGGACCCAGCTCTCCAGGGGCTCTGAAACTCTCTCATCGTGGCTGGGGAGGCATCAGCCTGTGACTGCCCCCCAGAAGTTTCTTGCTTGCATGCTGCCCCCATATTCTGATAACCTTCTACTGGGACACCCGACAGCAGTTGGGTGCGCAAACAAATGCCTTACTTCGGCATCTGGAGGACTGTGGGTATAAAGTGTCTAAAAAGAAAGCCCAGAGTTGCCAAAAAGCAAATTTATTATCTGAGGCTCACCATCTGGAAGGGGGAACACAGCCTAGAAGCAGAGAGGAACCAAGCCGCTTGCAAAGTGACAGAACCTGAGACTAAAAGTAGGTGAGAGAGCTCCTGGGAGCGATGGGTTTTGTAAATTGTGGATTTCCAAACTTCGCAGTACTGGCCAAACCCTTACACAAAGTGACAAAGAGGGGAGGGGAGAAGACAAGACACCCTTCAAATGGGGCAAAAGCTAAAAGTGAAACTTCTGTCAGCCCTGTCTTTGGGGCTAGCCGATTTAACACAGCCTTTTCATGATGTCAGAAAAAAAGAAAAAGAAAAAGTGGCAATCAAAGATTCTAGCCTCAACTCTGGGAAGAATTTAAATATCAAAGCACCCCACACAGCGGAGACTCTAATGAATGCCAAAAGACCTCATTGGTAAGCCTGCCAAATACCAGGGCCTGCTATGTGCAGCGGTTGTACAAGTCATACATAAGACCACTCACTCAGGTCAAGAATCACTTGAAAAGATGCTGGACAGGTACTTTTACATCTTACGCTTATCAGCCTTGACCAAAACTGTGGCATAGCGATGCATTCATTACATGTCGGCAAAACAACACGAGGCAGGGTCCCAACTATTCTCCCTGGCATTCAAGCTTATAGACCAGCTCCGTTTGAAGATCTCCAGGTAGACTTTACTAAAATGCCCAAGTGTGAGGGACGTAAGTATTTGTTGGTCCTGGTGTGCACATACTGTGGGTGAGTAGAGGCCTTATAAGGCCCATAAAGTGACCCATGTGCTGCTTCAAGATCGTATCCCTAGGTTTGGATTGCCACTGTGCATCGGATCAGACAACGGACCAGCATTTGTGATGGATTTAGTCCAGAAAACAGCAATGGCCTTGGGTATCACCTGGAAACTGCACGCTGCCTACTGACCTTAGAGTTCTGGAAAAGTGGAAAAAATGAACTGGACCATCAAAAACAGCTTAGGGAAAGTGTGTCAGGAAACAAGATTAAAGTGGGTGCAGATACTTCCCTTGGTGTTATTCAAAATTAGATGCACTCCCTCTAGGAAAACAGGATATTCCCCTATGAAGTCTTATATCACAGGCCCCCTCTCCTACTCTGGGCACTCCTAGGAACTCCATGGGAGTGGGGAGAGTTACCAGCTCTAGGAAGAGTCGCTTAGGATACTTCAACCTGAGTAAATAACAAATGTCCTGTAAGCCTTTTTCTCCCCAGTTCACCCTTTCTCACTAGGTAATCA